ATGGTAGTATGCCCCTGGATTGAACACTAAATGCAGGAGCATGAGAGCTTTATTGACTTTCTTTCAGACTTTTGCTATAGGAGCAGTATAGACTAAATTCCCTGTTAGGCAAGTGCTGTGTATATAGCCATACATAGAGTGATGGAAAAAAAATGTGAATATTTCTTGGAAATTCTATCATTTCTACATATTGTTTCTGACCCGAATTACAGCCATGCCATTAGAAATTGTCTATGTTTTAGGGAATCCTAACCCTAACCCTAGCTTGGAGGTTAGGGTTAGGGATCAGTTTTCCTTCAAGGAATCAATGCCACCTTCTACTCACTTCCGTTTAAAATATACTTCTGCAAATATAGCTAACAGTCAGAACTGACATAGCAGCCTTCCCAAACCCAAGAAAATGCATCATCAATGCTCATATTCTGTTTTAAGTGAAGTATTCTGAGAGTGGAAATCTCATGTTAAATGGGGCTGTCAATGAGGAGTGTTTTGGGCCAAACTAGGGTAAGAGTGAGGAATACCCAATAACTTCTCAGTTTATATGGTAGTATGCCTCTGGATTGAACACCAAATGCCGGAGTATGAGAGCTGTATTGACTTTCTTTCAGACTTTTGCTATAGGAGCAGTATAGACTAAATTCCCTGTTACGCCAATGCTGTGTATATAGCCATACATAGAGTGATGGGAAAAAAAATGTGTAGATTTCTTGGAAATTCTATCATTTCTACATATTATTTCTGACGTGAATTACAGCCATGCCATTAGAAATTGTCTATGTTTTAGGGAATCCTAACCCTAACCCTAGCTAAGGATCTTGGAAGTTAGGGTTAGGGATCAGTTTTCCTTCAATGAATCAATGCCACCTTCTACTCTTTTCAGTGGAAAATATACTTCAGCAAATGAGGCTAACAGTTAGAACTGATATAGCAACCTTCCCAAATCCAAGAGAATGCATCATCAACGCTCAAAGTTTGATTTAAGTCAAGTATTCATGTTGCGTTGTTGCGTTTAGGTAACCAAGCTTGGACATGTTTGTACTACAAGCTTTTGTAAAAACAATCTCACGTTAAATGGTGTAGTGGATGATACTAAAGTAAGGCTCAGGAATACCCAATAAATTCTCAGTTTATTCTGTAGTATGCCTCTGGATTGAATACCAAATGGAGGAGTATGAGAACGTTATTGTCTTTCTTAAAATATTTTGCTTTAGAGCAATTTTGTATATAGCCATAAATTATATGTTTATAAATTAATAAAGTATTCTCAAATAGGCTATAATCCATAATTAAATGACATTGGCCATATTCCAATACAACCAGTTTAAACTACAGTACAAATAGTATTAACTCAGTACTATATCAATCTATTCAGTTTTTGGAGCTGCTTTAATCGTTTGTGTCAGAAACCAATTGACAGCCAGAATGCTTTATCTCCATTGTGGTCACAAATTCTTAGGCTTGAGATTAATTCTCCATCTCTTTGTAATGTAAAACAAATATCCAAAATTTCACCTGTTTCATCTATTGATACTTATTGTAATTTGACTACTTTGCTAACTTCCTGGGTCCTTCCTTATATAGAAAATGATGTAGAATATGCATACCCTTTTCCTTGTACCAGAATAGACCACAAGGTCTCTCATAATAATGTCAAGATATTGTGTTAGTGATTATGTGTTCACATGCTTTGTTTTTGTTAATTAAAGGCCCTTCTCAAATTCCTAGAAAGGATATTGTTCTTACCGATTGTACTGTCATGTTCATACTATGCTCTTTTCCACCTCTCTCTCCAGCAAACCGATCTAGGACAGTACATGGTTCAGCACCCGGGAGGACTTCACTCCTACAATGTTAAGGTAACAAATCAGGAAATGCTGTAATTCGTACCCATAACCCAGACAGGAGTGCCTGTGATAGAATTACCTCTACCACAGTATTGCTTGCAGGTCCTGAGGGGAAAAAGTTGCATAATCTGTTGTTTCAGAATTATTTTAACACAGAGTCAAACATTAATCAGATTTGTAAAGGTATTACAGCATCATTGTCACCTCATACAGCTGAAGAAAGAACTAAATTCATTATGTGAAGTCAAGAAAGTGTTTTTTCTTAATTCCGTGACTTGCTGGCAATGTGAAATAGAATAGCGATCCTACTTTTTTTTTTTTTTACACAAATACTTGCGCGGCTTTTACAAAGTTCCTGAAAACCACACACAGCAGGCTTGATGGACCAAAACGCTGTAGGAGTTTAGAGGCCAGGTTCCTCAGTGTTTTTTTCTGAGCAGAACTCTTTCCAAAACCCTTTATAGGTCCTGTAGATGGAATGGGTGTACAGTAAGTGATTTGATTGGGGGGCCTTTCCTAGTTACTATATTATATTAAATGGCTTTTGACCAAATATTTTCTGTATGATTACAAGGAACCTGCTTCAAGAATGTGACTTAGATTGCTCCAGACACCTACAACTGTTTGTATGAGAATTTATCTCCTACTTTCATTTCAAAATCAGTTCCTTTTAATTTACACTTGTGTTCTGAGCATGTTTTTTCATAACGAAGAAGTTCTAAGAGTTAACCTTTCCAGAATACTTAGTCACAATACTGAACAGCTATTTTAATCTGTCTGTCTGACCCTTAAAGTCAGGAATTAATTGTTGCACTTCTTTGAACTGAAGCCACAACAGCAAACCTTTATTAAATTATATTTAATTTACTTATAATTAACTTTAATTAAAGCATTTTTGCCACCTCACTTTGTGTAGAGGAGAACATTGACAAATTGTCTACTAGTTGCTTAAAATTAATCCCGAGTGACATACCCATCAGGAATTTTGAAGAAGCTTTGCAGAGAATTGACAAAAATGCATAAGGCGTTTGACCCCAGATACAGGCTGTGTTTCGAATCAATACATTTTAAAGGAGAAAGGCATAGCTGACTGTGTAAAAAGATCTGTAGTCTTCTTGTGCTGTTTATTATGTCTTCAGCAAAGCAAAGGTTTTAAGGGTGATTAACAAACTTGAGAAGACGGATGTCTGTTGCCTCAATTAAATTAATATGTGTGCAAAGGGAAGTATTTTTCAGCCTCCAATTGAACATGACAGTGACAGCAGTGTTATAGCCAGTCCTCAGATTTAATAGTCCAGTTCTAATAGCAAACTGTGTATGATTTGGCCATGTTCCCTATTAGGTGACTTAACCGCTTTCATTTCAGATACAGCCGGCATTTTAAAGAGAAAGTGCTCAGTACAGTGAACGAGTAGCATGAAAATTGGAACCACATGTAAAGATGAAAGAACGACTTTGGAAATTGGATAAGGCTGCCTCCTTGTAATTTCTACGTGTTGCGTAACAAGAGACCTTTCTTGGGGTTTCAATTTTGTTGCTATGGTTACGGCTGATAACTTTGAGGTCTTATGCGCCCCTACATGCCAGTCATTTTACAAGTGTTGCTTTCTAACGTAACCCAATCTCCCCGGCATACAGAGGGAAACGCTGGCCAAGCCCCCACGCCCCCAGGGGAAGGGGCTTGATTAGGAGGAACAGTGCTCCGTGTGTCCAACATGCGTTCATTTCCGATCCGATCTTAAAGCCCTGTAAAACAAATTTCAAAAGAATCGGTTGCTTTCATTGCCTGTCAATCTTTCTCGGCTTCAGCTTTTCCTGTTCCAGCTGCTCCGAGGGCTTTCCTATATTCATCGTCAGAGGATTCTGCATCGAGACCTAAAGCCCCAGAACCTGCTCATCAGCTACCTGGGAGAACTTAAGCTCGCAGACTTCGGTGAGTTGCAAAAGAGCATAGATGATCCAGACCTCATTTTATCCCAAGACTGCCTATACAGTATGTACAGTACACACATTTGGCCGTATTTCAGCACTCAGGCCTTCGCTGTTAAATACAGAATTTTGAGCCACATTCTTTTAAGGTGGTCCAATTGTCATTGTACTTTTACTAGACAGTTTAAAGGACCTCAGTTTAGGAATAATTGCAAGGTTATTTTCTTACGACTGCCAAAAACTCAGTATTTAATTTTAGGACTACTTGCAGAATTACTCATTTTAAAAGGCATTTCACTTTCTCCTCACTCTGCAGCACATATTGCATTATAATGTAGCCTGACAGATATTCTCATACAGTAGGTCTTCACCTTTGCCTGCAATGGACCGGTGTCCCATCCAGGGTGTATCCCGCCTTGCACCCATTGCTTCTTGGGATAAACTCTGGCTCCCCTGCGACCCAGAGCTGGATTAACCCGTGAGAAAATGGAGGGATGAATATTCCCCTTTGCTGCCTACCTCTCTTCACATGGGTCTTTTTAACTAATGTTCTTATCATGACTGGATTAAAAGTAATACAATTTATTCCTTAAGCAAAAACTACAGTATTAACCTAACCACACGGTTTATCCCTAGAATTACTTATTCTGTTGACCAACTGGAATCTTGACTTGGTTTCCCTGTGTGTTGTGTTCTTGCTCGAGATATCTATCCTTCCTCTCAGGACATTCATTTCCTATGATATCAGGGGAAAGCGGGATGATGTACAGTATGAATGCAAGTCTCTGAAATTGTGGTTTCTATTCTCCGAAAGCCCGATTCCACGCACCCCAACCATTCATGTGAAAACCAAGGTTTTTTCCATTGGGCACTGTGCATTAATTGGTCAGCTGATTAAGGGAGGCTGGACATTGCCCACAGCTTTCAAATTCAGCTGATTGCCACCATGTGTTTGTTTTATCTACAGGTTTAGCACGCTCAAAGTCAGTCCCTAGTCAATCCTATTCCTCGGAAGTGGTGACTCTCTGGTACAGGCCTCCTGATGTCTTACTGGGAGCTACAGACTACTCCACTGGACTAGACATATGGTGAGGGTCAAAGCTAGAATGATAAATGGTTGGAAACTCCATTTTTGACGATGCATGGTGAATTGAAGTGGTGGCATTCCTGATTTCTGTATAAATGTAGATTCCTCCTACAAATTATATATGGGACAGTAATGATCTAGTATAGGTTATTGCGATAGGAAAATATGAAATTTTAGAATATATTTAAATTTTGCACTTTATTTCATTCCTTTACAATCTTCATTCCTTTCATGCAATTGCAGTCAAAACACTGCAGGCTATTTTCCACACCGTTCCTATAAATTGCAGTCATTTGTTGTGAATTTTATGCAAAAATGTCAATGACATACTGTAGACATTTGCTGGTTACTGTAATGATACTGGGTGTAGTGATTCAGATTCGGAGATCATAATGGGTGGTTTTCAGCATTTCGATGGACTAATCTAAAACGAAAATTGTGTTGTTATAGCCAATGGCCGGATTTCAGTTTCCGTTTTTTGTCCTGTGCCAACTCCATTTTCATTCTGATCACCTTGTTTGGAGTCAAGTAAATGTCGCTTCGTCATGGCTCAGAAGACAAAACCACCATGGGGGTATGAGGTATGAGGATGGGTAGACATACTGCTTTAAACTGCCTACCCTCACAGCCTGTCATGAATGGACACACTGCAAGATCCACAAATTCCTCCAAAAGTGTCATGGCATCAGAAAGCATCACCAAGCATCAGAGATGCACTACAAACCTACTATAGCAAGGGAAGAGGGTTATAGGATGTGATTTACCAACAAATCAGTGATATTCACACCGTCTGCTTTTGCGATGAAGCCCAATCCATCATTGGGGATCAAAGTCATCCTAGCCACAAATTGTTCTCCCCCTTGAGCTCTGACAAGGGGTACCGCACCATTAAAGCGCAGACTACTAGACTCAAGAGAAGCTTCTATCCCACTGCAGTGCACATCCTCAACGGCTAGCTGCAATGCCTAAATACACATCTGAACTATGCACTTTTTGTGTGATCTACCATGTTTTTTTTTCCACTACTACATAATTTATTGTCCCACAACATTTATTGTTCCTATTATTTATTATGCTCTAATGTACTGTCTACAATGTGTGGTGTTGTCTGTTGTACTGTGTCCCGAGAGATCAATGCGATTAAGAATTCCAATGTTAGTGTACACATAACAATAAACTACTCTACTGCTCCCTAGCTTCAGTGCTGATTAGACAAACTATATACTGTACGGTATCTGTCACTACAACAGTGGGACATTCCTGCAAGCAGGAAATCCCAAGAGTTAATCAGGTGTGAGAAGAAGCCGAAACGTTGTGTACATGCTCTTTTCAGCATGGAATAAACCTTTATGTGTTCCTATGCTTTTAATAAGAAGCTTTACTGCTTGACCCACCCTGGAGCCCCCAAACCCAAATCCTTCTACGAATGGAAAATTCAGTGAAATAATACTTTTAATATTTGTCTTCTCTTTCTGATGGAAAATAATTTTCAATGCTTAAAACAATTTACTGAATGTAGAAATTGGGATAGGAAAAATCTAACTAAAGAAACAGCATCTTTAGGCTACACTCTATGTTAAGTAAATTCTCTTACTTTAAGTTGCCTTTTTAAGTGGTCTAAATTTGAGAGCTGCTCCCTGAGAAAAACACTGAATCCTCAAATGGATGTCACAAAACATGAGAGAAGTGTACATAAATATTTTACAAAATAAAAAATAATATTTTTTTGTGCAGGTGGCACAAGTTTTCTGTTGCAAACAAAAAGCAATGTTGAATAGTGCTCTTGCTTTGCCAGCAAGAAACACTTGGAAATTATAAAACGGTATTCAGTTTCATCCAAGGCTGGAAGGGATCTGTATACACTCACATAACTGCTGCCTAACTATGGTGTAATAGAGCTAGAATTTGGAAGCACATTGTTTGATTTCGTAAGTGTTTGAAAGATTTACCACCATGAACTTACTCTTACTTGGAGAAACCAAACATTTGCCTTAACAGTAATGGCCTTGTTCTTGTTCCAGCCTGCAGGCATAAAAAAGATTGATTTCGATTTAACAATTTGTTTTATTCACTAGCATGTTCTAAATTGGCTTAAAAACAAAATATGTTGGCATCTACACATGAAGGAAAGTGTATTAAAAAGGAAAAAAAAAGTTGCTGGCAGAACTTAAGAGCACACATTGTGCTGTCCTGTTGTTTGAAGCCTATATACTGTAATTTTGCGCAGAAAGGATTTTCGTATCATCTAAAACAGGTGTTCCGATATCAGATCTAGAATCTAGGTCTCTTTAAAAAAATCAGGAGGAATATGCTGTAAATTGGGCCAGTTAAGCTTCAGCTGGGTTAATTCAACCAAATAGACTGTTAATAACCTCAAGAGACAAAGACAACCTTCTGTATTTTAGATGCTGAGGACTGAAATTGACAACACTTGACTAACCGAATAAGATCCTTAGAGATTCTAATGTTCTCCTTGTGCTTCATATCTTAAGGATGGATTTTAGGCTGAGAAACAATGTATGGCAGGTCATGAAATTTGATGAGACATTGTTAGCACTAGTATAAATTAGAGGTTTATGTTGGAAGCAGTGCAAACAGTGCTGAATTCATTGTCCACCTCCCATTTTCGAAGAAGCTTTACAACTGACCTATCATGTTTTTGCTAGAACACAGCAGAATAAGCATGGAAGATCAGTCTTAAATAATACAAGACCCACATATCACAGAGATATAACTTACATAGATATAGAGATATAATGGAGCTCTTTAATAACATTTACAGCTATGACTTGACCTCTGATTGTGGGACTGGGGCTGAAGGGAACAGTAATAATTTGTGTCACAAAGCAATATTGTTTCATTTATTCTATTTTATGTTAATAGTAACCACCAAGCAGTGCAAATTATTAGGTATAGATTTAAGTCTGAACTGGTGCACCATGGAACAGTCACCATAATGAGCCCATAAATGGTGCAATTTTAGTTCAGTAAAGAGGTGTTCTTAAATAATAGTCTTTACTACACTTTGTCTTGGAGATTTATTTCTTCCGTCTGCCTTTAAAACCATGAATAGCGTGTTTACCCATGTGCATTTTTTAAATCAAATCATAGAAATCTGATGAGTGACTGAGGCGGCATCAAATACTTCTGCATAGCTCTGTATTTCTTGCTTTTTTCCCCACTAAACATCCAACATGGCAGCTGCACTACAATATTTTTAAATAAAATTAAAACATCCTTTCTACCTGGAAGCAGAGCAGCTGGAGAATTTCACAAATCAAAAATACAACAGTGGAAACAAACAATGAAAAAGACTGGTGCCCAGGGTGAACATTAAAAACATACTATAAAAAGAGATGCATTTATAATATAATCTATATTCTTAGTATATCACCTTTTTTAGTTTTTTAGGTCTTAATTTATATAATCTTTCAAGCAAGTGTGCCTTTATTCATGTACCAAACCATCTGTGGGAACAGAACTACAAGGGGCACAGTAAAAATAAATAAAAAACTTTATTACATTTAATAGGACTTTAAAATCAAGTAGTAAAACAATGTTTTTCTCAGAATCCACACTCTTGAGAAGAGCACAGCAGCTCCACTCCTGTTTCAATCAACCACACACTCACAAGCCTATAGCTGATATAAACCTCCAAAATTTCTTCAAATCAGCAGATTGATTGACTTCCCCTACTCAACATCTTATCACATTATTTTCTGCTTGTGAAACTCAGCTTCTTTCTTCCAGGGAACAAGTAATAGGTTTATTCCATGCTGAAAAGAGAAGAAAACGCAACATTTTGTTTTCTTTCTTCTCTTTTCAGCATGGAATAAACCTATTGCTTGTTTCTTTGCAGCCTACACATGCTGACGCAGCTACCCACCTGAACTACTTCTTTCTTCCAGTACAGGAGTATTCTGCCCTGGTCTTAGAGAGTCATAACCTGGGGGTTTTATTGTTTATTTTTAAATGTGAATTTCTAAACAACTGCAAAAACCTTTGTTGACCAGTGAAACAGGTGACCTGTTTGATTAGAGTAGCTTAAAGATAACATGAAATAGAAATACCAGAACCCAGCCGCTCCGAAGCACAACAGTTGGCTTTTTGTGCCCTATATGAACCAATCACTCACTCAACTGACCAAAACTCAGATGCGTTCCAAGGCTTTTCAAACTGATGATTTCAGAGTGACACATAGGGCTTGCTGTGCTGTGACTGTCTAGAACAAGGGATGGTCACTCCTGAGCTAGTTGGTAAATGTGCTACTGACATTGTGGGTGCAATTAGCTGGATGAGAAAAAACATTGAAATCCATCTTGTTGTTTTCTGTAGAATGCTTGTGTGTGAAATGGAGGCAAGACATTTAAAAGTAAATAATTTTTTTGATTGGAAGAACCATTCAAAATGGCTGTTGTTTCCCAGCACTTATAAACAGCAGATGTAATAGTCAACACTAATTAGCAAATTTAATATTTTTATACCTGTTTTTGGGGGGGATTTCACAGGGGAGCAGGATGCATATTCATTGAGATGCTCCAAGGATCCCCTGCTTTCCCAGGGGTCGCAGACATCTTTGAACAGCTTCAGAAGATCTGGGCGGTAAGTCAGCAATCATATCTTCCCACTGGCCCTTAAAGGGGAACTGCAGTCCCAAATTCTCTGACTAGCTATTGAATCTCAGTAGCAAAATAAATTAATTGACACTATTGCAAATTCCAAATTAAGCACAAAATTGTGAACTTTATAAAAGTCGCCATGTTGTCAAAACCCACTAGTCTCCCCAATTGTGAGAGTAAGAGTTTGCACAACCTGCGATGTAATGCGGGCCCTTCCTGCTCACTAGTCACTGTGATGACTAATGCAATGTACAAACAAATAAGTACAGGTTGTGCAGCAGGCATTTCACTGCAGAAATGTTCCATGAGCTGCATTCAGAGTTAACAAGTTTTATTCTTTGGCAAAACCATCTTGAAGTTGAAGGCAATATTTCTATTGGATTAAAAGTGATGTATTCACAAGCTTGCTTGTTTACACTGTAATAGGGCCACTTCACGTCACTAGTTCATTCTGCAATCACAGAATACAATGCTGTGCATACCCGGAAATTTCATCTAGTTTGTGATGTTAATTGGAGGTTTTACTAGTTACTGTGTATGTTCTACTTTCATTCAGGTTTGAAATGCATTCAGTGCCAATTCTTTCTAACCCCAAAATACCAAAACAGCGTTGCAATTCTCTTAACTTCAGCAAACTCCAGTGTTTGTAAGAGGAGGTGACAGCTCATGTGATCTTCAGTCATCAGGTTAATCCAGTTGTCAGTTCATATTTTTATTTGGAAGAGCACCTTTGAAATTGAGGTGTTAACCCCACAACGGCAGCTTTCTTTTAAGAACAAAAAATGCCTATTAAGGCAGTGGAGATGTTTGACACAGACTGAAAAGAATTACCTGTCTAGCACACATAACATTTGAAAATGGATAAGTATGTTAAACCAATCTCTGCATTAAAGAAAATAGAGACAGCAAGGCATAATCTTGTTTGTACATTGAAATGATCATATTGAGTAAATGGGATGTCTGTTTTACTTGCTGTCTGCAAATACCTATGTGGAGATTGTATATGTATTCATGTACATAGGATAAAACCGGCATATTTTGTCTCTAGTCTTTAAAAAGTGTCCTTTTTTATTTGCAAGAGAACAGGTTAATGCATAAATGAAAATATGAGTCATCAAAATAAATTGTATCAAACATTAACAAATATGAAGGAATCTGATGATTTGTATAATTGTAATCTACTGATGAAATTCATGTTCTGTTAATTTTCTCATTTCATTTTTTGTCATATTGACAGGTATTGGGAGTACCCACTGAAGAAACGTGGCCTGGAGTCAGTGAATTGCCAAATTACAAGCCAGGTCAGAGATCCCCATTTAATAACAATTTTACCAGTGTTTGCGTCTGAATTGCCCTGCAGTCGAAATCCAAAATTAATCCAAGGCAGGGCTCTCCAACTCTTGTTCTGGAGCACTTCAATCGTATCAGTTTAATCCATCTCCCTCAATCTCATATTTTTAAAGTCTGAAAAGATTTCTATTTAATTCACTAATTAAACAATTGCTGCTTCTTTGAAAAAAACTCTGTTCCTTGAGGTTATTCAATTATTTTAGTCTCAAATGACCTCCATCCATCAATCATTCTAATGTGGCTGGTCTGCGTGAGGGTTGTGGCAAGATAAAGTCTATTCTAGAAGAATATAGCACATAACAGTCCAGAGATCACAGTACTGCCCTCGAAACAGCTGTCCACCACTCATACAAACATGGAGAGACAGAAGCCCAGACAAAAAACACCTAGGCCACAACTAAAACCAGGCAACTCAGGTGAAATTGAACTAGTAAGGTGAGCCTGAATCTAATAAAAACAGCAAACATGGAAAAGGAAAAAACAGTTAATTTTTTAATGTGCTCAAACAAAACATTGAGCAATCCATCTTCATAAAACTTGGAACACTCAAGTAAGATGTGTACTGTAGGTTGAATGAATGCCTGTTCAACACTCTTTCCATATCAAAATCTCTAACAGTTTTGTCCCTGAGATATCTAAAGCATGTTTGGCAGTGTTTAAATGCTTGAGGTCATTGTATACTGTAAATTTCTTGTGTAGAAATCTTATTATATTATACACAATAGACATCTCACTCGGTATGCTGTATAACAAAATATGAAAAAACACAGCTCGGCATCTTTATTCAGTTTAAAATGATGTAACGGCATTCTCTGGGGTGTTCTGTAATTTATCGAATGTCTCTTTTACAAGCCCAGAAACAAGAACGTTTATCTTTTTGTCAGAGCTGTTTAAATCAAAGCGAAAAACAGCTGCATAGTATAAATTGAATGAATAATAATTTTCGGTGTGTTTCAGCTTGTAATTTGTTCCAGTAAAAAAAAATAGTTTTTTTAATTTTAAAATACATTTTAAGAATGAATTCTGTAGAAGTTCAGTTTCAGAGTGTCAGGACAGGTAAGATCCAAGTCAAGCAGCAGTGTGTCACTGTTTTATTAATATTAAAATCTTAATGAGATCAATGAAATGCAAGGAGAAAGGCCTAACCTCAGGTACAAGATTAGTAGGAGGAAATATAGAAACATTCAGACACTTGTCTCCTAGACCAAACAGGTTTTGAAATCTGTATAGCATGGCTACAACTTAAATTATAATCAAAACACTCTTTTCAAAATAAATGTGGTTAACAAATACAAAATTAAGGAACCCAAACTGCGTTGCTCAGAGTTAGTAGTGTGACCAAGAAACAAAGGCAGAACATTTAGTATTTGGAGTGTCTTGTTTTTCAAAGCAGTCATCTTTTGTTTCTACTTTTCTAACACGGGGCTGTTGGTTCTGTGTGCTAAATACATATAACCAGAAGAGGGCAGAAAGTGACAGGAAAACAGTAGTCAAACCGATTACATAGCTGGTAACTGTACAACACGTGAACATATACAGTATCTATACCTTCTTATTAAGTACATTAAGAGTAGAATCCACTATGTACAGTACAAGGCAGGACATTTTAATATTTGGTGGCTTTTTTTAGTTATTCAGAGACCTGGGGAAATAAGGGCAAGCCTTTCAGAATTGTATGAATGTATTACGTTGAGCAGAATCACTCTGCATTTACACTTTCTCATGTAAAAATATTCATACAATGAAATTTGTGCCGACTAAAAACTTCACGAAGCCCTCTAGTTTAACCCTACCTTCTTTTAACTTCTGTCTCCCTTGTACAGGGGCACCTTATAATGTAGCTAGATTTGGGTATGTCAGAATTTAAACTTGTTCCTAGCTCAAGACTTTGCATGATCAACTTTGACTGCTTAATCTCATTCTCTCAACTGAAATAATTTACAAAATACAGATATAAAGAAGGCAAATCACTGTATATCTCAATAACTTTAGTAGTTCTGTGCTTTTCACTGCTGTTTGGAGATTTCTAGTGTATAAATATTAAAAATGATTTGATCAAACAGAATTCTGCATTCCAAAGTATTTCTTGGGATCAGTAACACTCTAATAAATCCATTTGGGTCTGTTGTTAACAGAGTTTTGCCAAACGAAAGCCAACACTGAATGTGCAAAATTAATCACCCCTCTATTTTCTTTAGTTTTCAGCTAAACTATTCTGATACATTTTCTCAAAGTACAAGTATAGTATAGTTGATCACAGTGATAATACGCTGTAAGTAGGTTTTCAAATGCAAAGCTCTCAACGTCTTAGAAGGGTGTGCAAAACATTGCTCCAGGGCAAAGAGTCTTCTAATCTGCACCAGACAAGTTTATTACGAGAAGTAATTTGCTGTACCTTTTAAAAGCAATTAAACGCCCCTCTTAAAGCAAGAAAAAGCATCGTACTAATTACCTAAGCATGCATGCACAGGTTCAACTAACAATCCAGTCAGTGTTGTCTTTGAATTTTGTTATTCAAATTTGGACAAATAAAAGTCCCGATCGTCACTATGGGCAAATCGCCTATCAACATTTTTCATTTGTTATTAGCAGATTTCTCACCGATTTTCCCATACAAAAAATAATGACTAGAGAATTCAATGATACAAGGGTGCCACAATAAACAGTTGTTTTAACCGATTACTTTTAGAGCTTTTGTTGTTGAGTAATTTAGTTCATTTTTTTCTACGGTGGGATTACTAAAGGGGCATTGGAAATCCTGAACAAATGAAGGTACTGACATGTCAGTATACTAAAAGAACACAAAGGAAGATAAGGAACTAAGGAAAGGTGGCACTTGTCCATCAGAATTCAAATTGAAGGTAGCGACTTTGTAGCCCTTTGTAGCCTGTAGAATGCAGGATGAGGTTTAACAGTATGAACCATTCAGCAAAGGAGAAAGGATGAACTGGAAACTTCCAATAGAAATTACTGTCTAGCCGATCAGTGGAAATGATCATGAAGGAAGTCTCAGGTGTGATGGTACAGTAATTAAGACTTGATGTGTAATTAATGTGATTACGGTACATCATCAACCAAAAAAAAAATGTTTGCTGCGGTAATATCGGGACTCATAGAAAGAAGAGACAAAAAAGAATTATGTAGAAGGGAATTTTCTTGCAAAATAAGGTAGTGAGCAGTAAAAATGACTTTTGCCTCTATTAACTGAAACTTCTGCATGGGTTTTCAGAAGTGACTTAATGTTATAGAAATGCTCCAGAAGAGCTGCATGTACCCAGGGCAAGGTCTGTGGAAAAGCATTTCCATAAAAATCCTACTTGATATTCATCCACTTCCTTCAAAGAAATGTTGCGGTTTTCCAAAGAAATTTCAAGAAATTAAAAACATAAATGAAAATTGGCAATTTGCATGCTTTTCAAAATGAAACTTTGACCATGCAGGCACTGTGAATTCGTTGAAATGTGAATGTCTGAAAAACACTGCATGCAAATTAACAATTTTGACTGTTAATATCCCAATGGTCGCATCAAAATAAAACGTGTTGACATAGGGAAAGGTACTCTGAGCAAGTCAGAATGGGAACTTTCTCCACACAAAGTCTTTATCATGTGACTTAAAGCTCTGAACCACCTTGTAAAACACTATTCAGCTGCCGATCCTGGGAACTGCAACAAAGGGAAAGTGTGTAACATTGTAAAACGAAACATATGCAACATCTCATATATATGTAAAATAGCCAGCCTTACTTGTCATCCCAAAAAACTATTTTTTTTTATAATTTTATTTGTCTCTTGCGGTATGCAAAATATATCTGAATCACAATTTGCCGATTCAGTTTACTGACAAAAAACACCACACAAATTGCATACTGGTTCTTGGCATTTCATGTACAATACCAGTGTCCCTCAAGTTTGTCCTGAGTTGACGGAGGTCACTCGTATTCCGTTTATACTGTCAGCTTTTAGGAGAGCCCTGGGATTCATGATGTCCCTTTCCAGAATGATCCATTATTGATTTAAAATCTATTTCATCATTACTTTTATGATAAACACCCACTTTCCACTTTTCTTTCAGGCACATTTAGCTCTTTTCCAGAAATAAAATGACAGAACCATCACTTAAAATTGAAGGTGGATAACAAAGCGCATTTAAAAATGTGTACATGCTCTCTGGATGACATGTTCTAGCTTAAACAAGCAGGCACTTGGCTCCAACTGTTTTAACTGTTCAACAGGTGATTGGCCTAGTCTGTAGTTTCAAGTAATTACTCACTTAAACACAGGGGTTTGGGGATACCTGTCCATTAGAAACAATGAAATTATGTTTTAACAGTAAGTGTAAGCTGCCTTGAAGGAAGGCATTCATGACGTTAAAGAGTAATAACATCCTGAACTTAACATAAGAAATTGTGCATATTAGAGCATGTTACTTGGTCGGTCTAGCTTGTTTGGTTTTTAGTAGCTAACTGATCTCTCATGAACAGTGTTATGGGATCTCTGATGGCCAAGTAGTTGGGACCATTATTTAATGCATCATCTGAAGGACCATCGTCATCATGAGGCACTGGTTTGTTGGTTTGAATATTGGCATTGGAAAAGTCTGGTCGAGAGGGAAGACTGCTTCCTACGAGTCCATCAACACCATTACAGTGGCAACATCATTATTCCCGGAGGTCTCCTATCCATAACTTCCAATCCACTTAACTGCCCTACCTCAATGTAACCAGTCCCCATAGTGATATATTGATCCACCTAAATATCAATTAAAAAATTAAGGAGATAGTGGTGGCAAAAATTAATAATGGAGCAAATTGGAGAGGCTGCAAATTGAATAGCCTTGTTTTAGTTGAAGGCACACTACTCTTGTCTGAAAAACTGCATGTTTTGTCACAGGCTGTTCATACTTCGACTCAGTATTCCTGATGTCCAAAATCAATATTCATACGGCTTCT